GGTTACGTGGATGGCATGGCCCCGAGCTCGGAGGACGGGGCAAAATCCGAATACCAACCAGGTGGTGAACTCCGGTTCCACAATGATTTCACCCTACACCTGCAGTCGTACCTTCTCAGAAGGTATGACTGGACCCTCCTGGCACCCACTCCAGTCCCACCTTCGAAACGAAGGTACTTGGAGGCCAAACGGGATTAGTTCAGGGAGTGTAACCACAGGTTTGAGAAACACCACAGATGGCCGGAAACCCACGGCCGTTTCCGTGACCCCTTTTTCCCGGTCGTATGGGTTCCGGTCAGTCTACATACGGGGCTTCGTGTTCAGTCTACACACCCATTAGAAGTTGACCAGTCTTAGGGCGATATCCAGTGGATGCACTTTGCTCCCAGAGCTATTCCCTTCTGGGTGTGCCCCCAACATAGACCAAATGGCCGTCGAATGACCTCCAAAGTGCCCCCCTGAGCATGATAGTGATGTGTTGTTTTTTAAACTAATACGTTTTAGTGAACTCCACTTGACATCTCGAGAGACTTCACATGACAGGTGAACATCTTTGAACATTTTGAACAGAGTATTTCATGTTTTATTTTTGCTTTGCTACTACAGATACACCCCTTTGAATCATCATGGAAGTGGAAAAGCAGCTGTTTGTAGAGGAAACTGGTCATCTTTCCTGGACCATTTCCCACGTAAAAAAAAAAAACAAAAAACTCTTGCCAGGGAGTGTCATCTTTTAGGTGTCTGATGGGCCCAACAGCCCCGTTCGGGCTCCGATCGGCCCAAACGCTCCCACCCAGTCCGAACGGAGAGCCCGAACGGGGCTGTTCTACATGGGTATATGGAGCGACCCCTCCTAGTAGTTTTCTTGCTAGTAGTAATGCCCTTGCTGCTAGTAGCGATGCCCTTGTTACGTAACAAGTAGCTTCTTGTTACTATATAGTAAAGTTTCTTTTAAAGCAGTTTTTGCTGGATGATCAGTTACTGCACCGTTGAATCTCTCACTGGGACTTCACCGATTCCTGCTTGGCATAGGAAAGGGGGGAAATGGGACAGATGCAAAACAACTGGGGGAAGTCACATGCTTCAACTCTAGGGAAACCGAAAGAACACACCCGAGAAGCTACAAATTCTATCCCTGAACCAGCATCTCAAAAAATTCTCAACATCTTTCCCAAATCAGGTGTCTTCGTCGGTGCCCACCGCAGATCGTCCTTCGCGTCCTCACGTGACGCAGGAGCACCACGTGACGCAGATGAATTCCACCAGTTCTCGGATGGACTTTCTCGAGCGCTCCTCGCCGCACGGCCCGGTGGTCGAACGGCCGACGTCGCTGGCCGAAGGGCGGTTGGCCTGGCGAGGGGAAGCGCAAGTGTGCCAGCCGGTGTGTGTTGTGAAGAAGCACATATCACTATAGGGAGCAACATGGGAAAACAAGTTGACATATATCTATGATTGAGTCTTGAGTCAAGATGAGTCAAGAGGTTGATGCATGTTGATGCATCTTTGTGGCCATGCTGAGGGAGCAGATTAAGTGAATGGCTATAAGACTGGTTTATAAGCTATATATGTAATGGTGAGTGTTGAAAACAGTGCAAGCCTGCTTGATCCGTTTCGGAACCTGGACCCCTTCGACTTCATGCAGCGGGGGGCAAAAGATGTTGGACCAAGACCATGCTTTGTCCCCTCCTTCATGAGGAGGTCAGCACAAGCAAATGCAGGGAACAGCACGGTGCACCGTTGACATCAGCTCTTTAGGACACATGAGGACCCTGCACCACTGGGTGGCACCTCCGACCGATTTCGGACCCATGTCACGGTCCAATCGTTGCCGTAAGACCGCCTTGAGCCCCCAAAACCACCACCCCCTTCCACCCCCTTCCACCGTTCGCAAGCCTGCCAGAGTGTAGCAGGGCGAAGGTCCATCTATCCTGTAGCAGATCCCCACAGATCCACCGACGGTACGAGGTTCGGTACCGAACACCCTTTTCCCCCGACAATGGCGGTCCGCCGAACACATCACCGTTTTTACGATATTTTACGATGTTTTTAGAAGAAGGCCTTGACCGATCATCATCCACTGGGCGGTAGGATATACCCAACCGTTCGCCTGTTAGCAGGTCACGAATTCGGTCAGACCGACTCATTTCTCTGTGACCGAATTTGATGTGGATGAACGAAGTACGATCCATGGGATTCTGAGATGTTGTTGTTCACCCCGCCGGCGTAGAAAACCTTGCTATAGAGAATGGTGGACCAAGATGGACCACGATTCTCTGAGAAACAAAGTAAAGAGCATACTCATGGGCACTGATATGGATGAAGATTCACATCGATGCATCCTTTGTTCACGACTGTTCAACGAGTCGATGAGCGAGAAAGACCCTAATGAGTGAACATTCTGACTGGTACAACTGTGTCCTTACCCAGAGAGTTTTTGTGTGGAAAGTGTAGTTTCAGGATCATATCATGTATGCATAGTATGCTAGGCTACTGCTGTGACCTCAACAACCCATGTATGATTACCTACATGAACCCTGAAAACATCTCAACACCGCCCTAATCCAGGCAATATTCCATAATAGATCCATATACCCTAGGCCTCCAGTCGTACCTTCGTTTCGAAGGTGGGACTGGAGAGGGTGCCAGGAGGGTCCAGTCATACCTTCTGAGGTACGACTGGAGGTGTACGGATAGTTTTGTTTTGAGGTTCAGTTGTTCTGTCAGCTGTTCAAGAACTTCGCTGTGTAAGTTCGATGCATCGCCTGTGCATCCAGAGAAGATGTATCCCTGTTTTTTCCGCATGCACGGTGCTGTTTTCCCGCCACGTTTCTCGGCCGACTCAAGCGAGGAACTTGGTAAAGCAGCTGAAAGTGGTTCCTTAGTGGATCCCAGAAGATCCCACCCTGCCCACAAAAAATGCCCAATCCTCCAGTTTGAGGACAAGTTGATCCAGCTGAATCCAGCTTGCAGTGGTGTACTTGTGCTTCTTTTTTGATGCAGGGTTTTTGAACAGCACCTCGAAGTGTTCTCTCCTATTTTTTTGTCAAGATCTATTTTGGAGCCTTTTCTCCCTTGCGGGGGGCTTTCCGGCCTCCGGGGCGACTCGTCCTGCTATGACGTGAGACTTCAGTCTTCGCGCAGCGATGGAGAGTCGTCTGGAGAAGGAGCTTCCGGAGCTTCCTCCCGAAAAAGCGCATCATGGGACTCTTGCGCACGTCGTTATGGTGGGGAACTGAAGGAGACTGCACGGTTTGCCGTTTCGACCGAGGGCGGGCGGGCTCCGAGTGGAAGATCTTCAACAGAGTTTCTGGAGGTCTTCCAGTGGGGGTGTCACATGGATGAGAATGGCCTGACGCTTCGAACATATGAGAGGATATATATATATATACAGTATATATAATGCCATATGTTATCATTGGGCTCCAAGCATGGATTGGTAAGGAAACATGATTCCCATAGACTCCATGGGACTGCCAGGACGGACTGCCGATCAACTGAGGAGGTTGGTTGAAAAAGGAGTCTTTCTGGGCGGCAGTCCGTCCAGGCAGTCCCGTTGGTCGTTGTCTGGGATTGGGTTCGATGCAAAGGGATGAAGGTGCTGCGATGTCGATCGGGTGCGATCCCGGCGATGGAGGAAAGGGGGGTGAAAGAACGGATGGTGGATACCATGCGACTGAAAGACGCTTGCAGAAAACAACGCGTTGGATCTGCGATGATTTGGGTAAACCAAGTATGGCAGATGTTGGAGTTCTTCTTTGATTTTGTTGGCAGCGATGTTGAGGTATCTTTGGATTCCGAAGGCTTCTGAAGCAAACAACTTGACAGATTTGGGAGTTTAAGTTGGAAGCTACTGCAAGGGAATGACAGGGAATGGCTGATGATTTGTGGTTATTAGACTTTCAACTTGCAACCATTGTTAAGAAGTTGAAGCAAGCGCCAACCCTTGAAGCATGTTGCATGCCCTGATGCGTCAAATCCAAGGATTGGAATGCTGAAGCAGGCCACGCTTTCGTGCGGCGTCGGGGGTCTAGCTCAACGCATCCCAACAAAAATAGTATAGTGACCTCTTTGGAGTCTGTAAGTGACCTCTTCAGGGACTAAGTGACCTCATTCTAGGATGAACATGGATGAACACCGAAACGCTTGGGGTGAGGGGCCATCCACAAGCAGAAGAAGAATCTCCACCACACTCGTGGCCTTGACGTTCTTTTTTCTTGTGAAAACGGCCGAGGCAGTGCAAAACCATGTGGACTCCTTTAATGCCTTCCTGAAGCATGGGCTTGATCGCACCTGGTCAGAACCTACGCATGGAAAAGGTTGGTTGAGGGATGCGGTTTTCGAGGGATGACTCATGTGCAGAATCATCCTCAGACTCAGACACCTTGCCAAAGAGTCAGCGAGAGAGAAGGTGAGTGCGTGGACTTGTGCTTTGGTTCAGTTGGTTAGGTAGGCCTGGAACAGATGAGTACCTTTGTATAGATTGAATCCACTGCATATAGAGCTCTCGTCCCTAAGGCTGCTCAGAAGGTATTTTGGACCCTCCAAACACCTTCGAAACAAGAAACGAACTGGAGGTGTAGGGGCTTAGATAGACTTTGGCGCGCCACCATTTGGGTCACCAGACACCTCCTGTGCCTGGCACGAGTCTCGAACCTGGGAGCACCGGAGAACCGCGCCAGCTCCACGCCAGCTCTGCTCCGAAAGCTCCCCCCTGCCTTGGCGCCATGCAGACTCTGGCCTGGCAGCCGGGCTCGGCTGCGAGTGGGCAGCGCGCCACGAGGGTGAGGTCTTGATTGCGTCAGTATGCTTGGATCAGTTGCAGGCGAGAATTCTTCATGGACGAGAATTCCTGCAGCTCCACCAAGCAGCTGAGCCTTGCCAGTGATCACTGAGCAAGAGCATGCAAGAGCAAACCACAAGCTGAGCTAGCAGTGTTGCTTTGCCAGAAGTCGATCCTCCGGGCTGTGCCAGCTGCATCCCCCTGCGGCTGATCCAGTGACATGAGCAGCGGAACTGAGCTGGAAGAGGTCACGCAACGGAAGAAGGCTCCGACGGCTCAGAAGGGAGCGCACATAGTACTGATTTATACTGATTTTATCCTTTGAGTTGCATGACATGGAATACTATAAATACTTGTATAGCGCATCCTATGGAACATCATGTTTCTTGTGTTCGTTGGGGAAGTCCACTCCGCCTTCGCAAAGTCAGCTCAACTTCCAGTCTACGAAGACGGCAGATTAGATGCGGAGAAGGGGAAGAGTTCGTCGTGATCGACAGCCGTGATCAGAAGCTGCAAAGGCCTTATCAGGGGTGGCTTCTGAACGAGATCCTTGTGAATGCCCAAGCTGGCATCAACATTCACCAAGATCGAACATTGGTGCGCTCACCCAACAATTGTTCTGCGTGAGAACGCTCGAAGGTGGATACAGCTGGTGAGATGTGGATACAGCTCGTCATACAACTCAGTGCCTTTGACCAGGTGTACTTGTGTCTTCAGGTACTTTGCATTTGTCCTTAACTACCTTGAGTTAGTCCTCAACTACTTGGAGTTGGTCTTGAGGTACTTGGCATTTGTCCTTTACTTTGAGTTAGTCCTCAACTACTTGGAGTTGGTCTTCAGGTACTTGGCATTTGTCCTTAACTACTTTGAGTTAGTCCTCAACTACTTGGAGTTGGTCTTCAGGAACTTGGAGTTTGTCCGCAGGTACTTGTTCTGTTTCTCAGGTACCAGTCGCACGGCGAACAGAGTCACCAAGGGACAAACCTTCAGTTCAAGAAAACAACACCCCCAGAAAAAGACCCACTGAGAAAAGAATTAACCAACACACCCTACACCTCCAGTCGTACCTCCTCAGGTTCTGTATGACTGGACCGGCACCCACCCCAAACACCTTTGAACCGAAGCTATGACTGGAGGCCTGGGCCTAGGGACACCTTTTTGAAGAAATGAGACCACCCTCCAGGATCACATCCTGTTCCATCCTCCTGCGGCCTGGCTGTCTGCCTCGCTCGCCCCCCCCCCCGCGTCCCAAGGCATTGCAGAAGAACTGGAAGCGATTGAGCTCGAGGATCCTCAGGGGAAATCAGGCCGAGCGGGAAGTGAGCGGGAGCGAGTGAATTGGCGCATGAGGACCGCTCAGACATCGATAGAGTCTCTACCTATAGAGAGTGACCTACTTGATTCAGGAGTGGTGAAGGGTTAAACAAAGGAGGTGAACACCTGCTTCAGCTGGAGTATTGGGGTCACAACTGCAGGTCTCAGGCGGTGGTTCTATCATGTTCTATCTATTGACCACTGCAGCCCCAAAAAATCGACTGCAAGACCACTGCAGTTGACTTTCTTGGAGTAAAGGGTGACCACGGTGGCGGACAAATGGCGAACACAACCCTCTCTAGGGCTGTTCAATACAGTCACCTTTCATCATTGGAGCATCCAAAAGCCTCACCTTTGAGGGTCCTTGATTCTCAGGCCTATACAAAGTTCAGTCTGACCCAGGTCCAAACCTGGTCTTTGAGCTTCTGAAGTTTTCGTATGACCCTAGGCCTCCAGTCGCACCTTCTCAGAAGGTGGGACTGGGGTGGGTGCCAGGAGGGCTTCTGAGTAGGTACGACTGGAGGTGTAGGGTGACCACGTCCAGTCTTTCATGAGGTCCAACCGTAGAGCACCAAAGCCTCCGTGTTACCCGAAGAGGGCACCACACGGCGGGTGACCTACACCGACGGCTGGTGCTGACGAGAGGAATTCCGGGAGACCGACCACCCCCACTCACCCTAGGGATCCGTTTTCGTACCGAACCTCAGAAGGTACGACTGGACCCTCCTGGCACCTACATAACAGTGCATCTTCTGAGAAGATACTTGGATCCCGAGGGTAAAGTAGAATAGACCATCTACGAGCTGCTTCCCCTTCGGTTGTCACCTGGCTGGATATCCACACTACGAACCCAGGTCTCCCTGTCCACCCCGCACCCCGACAGCGCTAGGCGCTAGGTATGTCCCTTTTGCATCGCACCCGATCTGAGAGACGATGAGTTGGTTCCTTCTGTTGGACCACGTGATGGGATCCTTGTAGCGGTTGATTGATCTACTTGATCTAGCGGGGTCAAGACACAAACCGCCGCCGCACGCAGCACGCAACACAGAAGATGCAAGAACCGAATTCTCCGTGGACTCCAAAAGGAAGAGTGTGTCAACGGATCTCTGCACCAGCTGCTTCCCTTCGGGGTCGCCAATGGACACCCCTACACGACTTTTCGTTAGACACCCATTGGAAGCTAGGCAGCAAAATACAAGATGCGAAGTCGACAGCCTGCAGAAACGCAGTTTAAATAGAGGTTTTTGCCCATCAGTCAGGTGCCAAACTGGAGTTTCTGCCTAGTTAGCCGCTGAATCAACCAAAGAGCCGCATGATGGAATCCTGGGCCAGATCTAGTTGATTCTAGTTGTACGGCTGCATGGGGCTAGCTACATTGAGATCTCTCGGATTTGGGTTCCACATCTGGCTTCATGTGTTCCACACACACACAAACAAACACACACACACACACAAGCACACCTTTCTACCCACAAAATGGATCCCCATGGCCCATACCTTCCTTGTGACTCCGGTGACTCCGGGCGGACCGGGCGCACCGGGCCCGGTTTCCCTCCGGCGAACGGAAACGGGCAGCGTTCTTCACAACGAAGCTCCCGAAGGACATGGGTTCCACTGAATTGTGGAAGGTAAATCGTGCAACTGGGATGTGGTCGAGTGGTCCATCGGACGAGCCACTGGGGGTTCTCACTCTCCAGGTCCCTTCAGAATCAGTATCTCCGAGCTCCTGGCCACTGGGCATCACGTAAACGTCACGTGGTCTCAGCGCAAAGGAAGCGTTGTGGTCGTTCACACAGACCCGGCTTCGGCATCCACGGATCCTACCGTACCGACCTCGGGTTCGGTACGGCTGGACCCGACGTTTTGGCGCAAGATCGAACTGCTGTCTCCTTCCTCACTGTACCTGAGGTTCGGTACGACTGGATATAGGGAGGCTTTTGTGGAGGAAACGCTTCTTCTGTATGTATACATGTTCTAGCCCAAACTCCATGTTCACATGGTGTTTGGCTGGTCGGAGGGAGAAGCCCCCAAGGTGTTTTCATCCTGACTTGATCAGTTTGGTCAAGTTGCATCCATCAGGGATGCCATGCTCTTCCGGTTTTCCACTTATCCCTGGTCCGTCCTCCACCAACCGTGCTCAATGCAGAACGGTTGAGGGTCACCTCTTCAAAGTTAGTGAGAGCTTCCCGGAAAGGTCGAAAGAAACAAAGGGATCAAAGGTTTGCTCCCAGATGCTCCAAGACTGCCATTTTTAGGGATCCGTTTTTGTACCTCCTTCGTCGTCCGGGACGACTGGACCCGACACACACTGTCCACCCACCCACCCCAGTCCCACCCCACCGAACCGAAACGATACGGTACGACTGGATCCTGGAATCATTGCTTTGATCCTTCACATAGTAGGAAGTGGTTTGGACATGTTGGGAATGGGTTTCCAGCTTGATCTTAGAGCTTCATGATGGAGTAGCTTTCCACCATCCCGGATGTGATCCATGCAGAGAGTAATACGGGAGTGCGTAAAATCATGTGAAATCGCATACAGTCTTCCCAGCCCAGTGTCAGAGCTTGATCATGGAAGAGGTTTTAAGGCGTTTTCTTAGCACGTGTATAGCATGCGCACACCTCCCGAGAACTCTTGGAAGAGTGCCCAAAGTCGTTGGAATTTCACTTGCTACTGTTCGCATTGTTTTGCTTAATCATGTTCACTTATTTAATTTTGCATATCGTTGGTTCATCCTAGTTCAAAGGCACTTGCTGCGTCCTACACTCACACCTTCCCCATCTCACTCTCACTTAAAACTTGCCTTCAAAAACTCACCATGCAGCCACCCTCTTCTTGCCGCAAAAAGACGCTGCGCCAACCGTACCTATGCCAAACCGCTGGGCGCCCCAAAACGCTCTCCTTTGCTTTGTTTTTTGTTCGTTTCTCTGCTCTTTTGCTTTTCGTCCGCAGGGTCGACACCCGCCTCCCACTTCGTCGCGCAGGTCACCAAGCCCGTGCGCAAGCCTCACGCGGAAGGTGCGGAGAGCGAGGACGCCACCGTGGCCGCCGCAGCGGAGCCGAAGGCCGGTGAACGAGAGCTGCTCGGTGGGAGCGGGTGGGCCGATGCCTCACTGGTCGGTGGGGTGCAGACGGAGCGGGTGGGGTCGCTTTTGATTGAGTGACGGTGATCAAACGGTGTGAGTCGCTTAAGGGAGATCCCCGACCGAGTTGTTCTGAACCGGGGGATTTCTGCTTTTGATTACGGATGGAGGCAGTCGCAATTATGTGTACCGAAATCCCAGCACCGGTACCCGTTGGTGTTTACTTTGGCGGATCCCGGATACATTTTTTTGGAATTCGTGATGTAGACTATGCAAGACACATCACTTGCATTATGAAGTTGGTGTCATCAACCAAAAAAAGCAGCGGCGCTGAGATTTACACTTTGTGCTTTGGCTCAAGAACTCTCCTGAATTTGAGTCATAAAGACTCCATGACGACCCAAAGGGCACGCCCTCAAAAGTCTGGCTCGCCCAGACGGGGGGTTTCAAAACACCAGCGGTACTGCGACACACTGCACTGCTCCGAGGTTCAAGCGCCGGTGGCTTCCATCGGACTGCCGCATGGCGCACGCCACCTACAGCGGGACTCTCAGTGCGAAGATGGACGCTCGGTGCGAGCTGAGTCCAAGAAGACGTGGCCTGAGGACCGTGGAGGTACATGAAAAAGGTACCAGTACGTTCCCAAGGTGTCTCAAATAGACTTACCTCATAACGATATATAATACCCCAGACACGACCCGGACTGCCATAGATGCCGATCAGTTGACCCCTCTGGCACCACCCCAATGTAGGCAAATATACCATACATGGAGTGTTTGGGCACTACTGTTTCCCTGTGAAAACGTATGCCATGCCTGTTTCAGCTGAATTGACAAGCTGTCTACTGGAGCTCTTGTTTACAACTGGTTGCGTTCTCCCACGAGGAGTCTTCACAGTGTCAGTGTCAGTGTCAGTGGATCCCAGTTTTACTATATAAGGAACCACAGTTTCTAGGTCTATGGTTTTTGTCTTTGAAACCACTGGTTACCAGCCACCGTGGTTTGCCTGGATGCCGCATGTGTGTGTGTATATATGTGACTAAGTGTGTCGGGGTGTGTGATGTTTCTTTTTGTTGCGAAATGTGCATTTTCACTCAGGAAGTGAGCACCAAATCCACCCACAACACATTTGAGGTGGACCTTGGTGCCTTGGTTTTGGGAACCGCGACACCGTTTTGAGCGCAACCGTGCGGCAGAACGGTTTCATGAAACCCAGCGCCGGGAACTCATGAGTGACACATGGACCGTTTGGTTACTTCAAAGGGGGCTCGAATCTGAAGAACCCTGCTTGTAGGAAGAGTCTCGGCATGCCAAGCAAATGTGGAAAGGCCGCAGGCCTAAGCCAGCCAAGCCGTGCCTGATCGAACTCACTTTACTTGGATAAGGTGAGAACCATCATAGTGCCCTGTGCAAAGGTCCAAGTATGTAATGTGGAAAAGGGTGGGATTTGTACCTGCAGAAGTTGACTGAACAAACTCATATATAGCCAGCTTGTTAAACCTATCCCATATATGCCAAGTCGTTCAACCTATGAATTGGCTGGTTCAACCATGTTCAAAATGTTTCAAACATTCTGATGAACAGTTCGATGAAATTTATTTGCAATTTGAAAACACCACATGGTGGATGAAGGTCCTTCAAACCCAAACCCTTTCCTGGCATTCCCCATGACAAAGTAGGACCAGTCACTAGTCCGTCATGACTCATGACAGTTTTTTGGGGCTGAGTCATAGGACTGCTAATTATTGGATGATGGGATCAACCCTGCATGTATAGAATATGCCAGCAATGGCAACAACATGCAAACATGCGGCTTTCAGTAGTTGGGTATGGATCGATATATATATATATATAGTAATCATGTATATAATATACATTTTGAGACAGCGTTTGGGATTCGGATATTGCTTAGTTCCTCCCTTCTGCAAGCAATTGCTGAATCGACGGATCCGGTACAGCCTTTTCATGGCCTGTCACTCAAATTCTGGAGGCATGAGTAGATTGTGGATTCTCAGAAGACTCTTCACCTGCAACCAACTCACCATCACCTACAGGGCGAGATTGCATGGCTTAGGTGATATTCCCATCATGGTGAGATCCCTCAAGTGCAACCTCTATGGCGCCTGCGGTGAGAACAAGTCTGGAAGACGCTGCGGATCCAGTCCGTCGTCCGTCGGGGGGCAGTGCAAACTGGATGAGTCGTTTGATAGGGGGACCTCCCAAACAAACAGGTGGACCATCTAATGGAGATGGTCCATAGTTCATGGTCTCCTTATTTTGACACCCACAACATATGAGGTGATGAGCATCTCGAAGCGATCCCACAGGTGTTGAGAGTTCAGCAACCCCCTGGTTTGACAGATGACCCGTCGGTCCCCGGTTTCGACCCGTCAACCCGACCCGTGGCTTCTGGGGGTGGCTTCACATTGTGGTCGGACCTGCAGGGGGGGTCTACGCCGGCGTAGGTGAGACCTTTTGAAGATGGTTCTGAAATTTGGAATCCGGAATCACATGCTGTGACCAAAGACCCAGCTGTGACCAGGGATGCAAAAGTCTAACAACTCTCTTTCCCTACACCGACTTCGTCGTACCTCCTCAGGTTTGGTATGACTGGACCCGAAACTGGCACCCACCCCAGTCCCACCGAATCGAAACGATACGGTGCGACCAGGTCGGCCAAACGGGTATCCTTTCGCCCCGTCTTTGTTTGTCGGGGCGGTTCTGGACTGGACATTCACCCTCAGAACGATCGCTGGAAAGCGTCAAACATGAGCTGCGCGAGACGGTGGGACGACACACCGTCGCACCTGGTCAACCTCGTGGAGGACGATCGTCCTCCCGGCTGAACCCGTTCCGCGCATGTTTGTGATGTGAGGGGGTCCTGAGCAACTAAACCGTGCGCCGGAAGGGCCTGAAGCATATCGAGTCATGTCACTCCCATATTTTTTCAGGTCCTGGGTAGATCAGTTCATGCCATCTGGCCCTGTGGCTTTCCAGCATCAACAGACCAACTGCGAATCCTCGCTCCTGCGTGCCAAAAGCTCATCGGGATCGAGTCGAACGCGCCGCCTCCCCCGTCGAACGGGTCTCGTCCTCCGTTCGCAAACAAGGGACTCGTCCGCCGCGAGCAGCGGCGCGGCCGGAGCCGAGGCCTCAGCCCCGAGAAGCTGGTGAAAGCGAAAGAGGTGGGCCGTGCGCTCCGCACGTGACGTTGCGCGCGAGTCCGTGCAGAGCACGATGGACTGCCTTACTATTGAGGTGTTTAGAAGGTCCTGTAGCCTCCAAAGCACTAATTTAGACCAATGTCCCATGATTGTTTCATGTTTTTCCATGTCCTGCCACCTGAGCGTCGCGCAAGGAAGCGCACTTGGAACCTAGCGGTTGGAACCAAAAAGAGATTCTTTACGATGAAGGCCAGCTACATCAATAGTCCAGGGCTGAACACCACGTACCAACCTCACTCATAGGTCAGGAAGCACGATGATCAGAGAAGAGGGACGAATTTTCATCTAAGAAGTTTGCAGAACCAGGCACAACCCTAGGGCTCCAGTCGTACCTCGGTATCTCCCGAAACTGGCACCCAGTCCCAAAACGAAGCTCGGCCGGTGCGACGACCGAGCTGTGGAACCGAACTGCCAGGACCGGACCGAGTCGGGTGGATACTTCTTGCTGCGCGGCCTCGAGCGTGTGATTCGCCTGCCGCTCGGCCAGTCTCATGCAGCGGGGGTTTGTCTCCCGGGGTGGCGGTGAAGTGAAGTCCAGAACGTCCACGAAGGGTTGCACCCCCCTTATAATCAAGGGGGTGGGGTGGTGGCCATCATTGTTCTGTAGGCTTTAAGGGGTATAGTGGGGTATATGTTGAAAGTCTCGCGTCTCGCTGATGGAACAGTTGTGTTTGAAGACACAACATGTTCCCATCCATCCACCGATTCTGAGGCTCATCATGCCGCGTGCCAACTACCCCATGGCCATCAATCGCCCCTCCTACCAGAACCGTGGCAAGCTCTACACCCAGCATGCGGTTCTCATGCGCTGCATGCGCCAAGATGGGAACCCTGGCATGGAGAATGGACCTGGAGGGACCTGGAGAGACCTGCTGTTCCAAGCCAAATCACTTGATGTATGTTTAACAAATGAGCTGGTGTTCTGTTTTTAACACACACTTGGACATAACAAAGATATCAAATTATCAAATGTATATAGTTTTTAAATCCGGGAGACACCCTAGCCCCATAGTCTGGTCTACTTCCCTTCTTTCAGGGGTGCGAACTGAGGTCTCCCTATATTATAATACAGGCCCTAAATAGAATCAGAGATGAACACATCATGTAGGAGCTCATGTGGATCCTCCATAAACCGATCTGGACCAAGACTCTTTCCTTGGACTGGTCGTTCGCATGTGCACCAACCTGGTGGCAGTGGAGCTGATTCCCCCAAGACTTGGATCTTGTGGAGTTCGATCTTATGAGATTGACGCTCTTTGAAGTGAGCAGTAGAGTCGACCCTGGTAGGTGACGCGGCCACGTGAAGGTTGCGGTGACGTGAAGGTTGCGGTTACGGAGCAGTCGGCCACGTTCGGTGCCACTGGTGCCGTATTTGGTGCGACCCATCAACGAGCATCGTGTTTTCATCGGTGTTGGACACAGGTCTTGTGTTTGCTTTCAGCGGTCTTGTGTCCAAATGAACCTCCCAGGGTTTGATGTTTCATCGGTTCAACGGATTGTGACACCCCTACACATGTTCGAACGACGTGCTTTAACTCGAGCCGCTCGCCCTTCACATCACTCCACCTACAAGAGTTTGACACTAGAACAGTGAAGTCCATGGCTCAGTGGGCCATCAGAGGTTCGATGGCACAGACCTCAAAATGTCCTAGACTCCTAGACAGCGTGGGGGTCCACTACTAAACCACCGACATTGGGGTCTGTGCCATTGGTCCTCTCAATCCACTATAGACTCAATTTTGGCACACTGAAGGAAAGGCAGTTCCTTTGGGGGTCACCTACACACCATTCTTAAAGTAGTCGACTGGACTCCCAGGGAGATGTACTAGATGTTTGGTCCTGACCAGGCCTGTCATGCACAATAAGTACTCAGATCGATGGTTTTTCTCTTCTTCCACCAATAGGACGACAACCAAAAAGCAAGTCATGTTGAACACATGGTGCCTATGACCATATATATATATATATATATATGCCCTAGCATCATGTCAATTGTTTGCATTTCTACCCAATGATAGTTCATCATTTGCCCAAGCCTTGACACGGGGGTTTGGAGTGTCCACCCCACGTTTCACGTTTCGCAAGAATCGTTCCGTTCACCAGTTCACTGTAAGGATTTGTCCAAACGGCTTCGGAGTGGTTCGCCCAAGTCGTGTGAGACTGACTTCTCCATATCGGTCAGTTCGACTTCATGAAATCCTGGAGGTGGTCATACAAAAAGCACTGATGACTTACCGAAGTCAGTCAGACCAGCAGACTGGACTTACGTTCTTTTTTTTTAACTGGACGTACGGGTGTGTTTTTGCATTTCTTTCGTTACTTATTAATCTACCTTTAGTGGATGTCCACTCCCACTCAACCCTATAGGGCTCCTGGGCCATATACTCAGGTGGTTAGACCCCCCAAACCCACCCCAACCACCTTCGAAACGGAGCTAGGCCAGGAGCCCTAGGGCCAGATTGGGTGCACCAAGGACCACGCAGACCAACACACTCCACTATTGCCGTGACGGATCCTGTACGTTGTTGCTCGACCAGTCGCGATCATAGGGGGAAAACACATGGTGTGCCAGAACGAACGTGGTTCGGTTCGAGTTTGGTTGTTCTTTGCGAGTCCTGTTGAGGCGCGGGACAATGCGGGACCCCCAATGACTTGGACACGACCTGGACACGGGACGCATATTCGCCTATGTTGTCTTGGTTGAACAGGGGTTAATGGGGCGGCATACATTCCAGTCCCATGGAGTGTTTGGGCAATGGACAACTTGGTTGTCTTTTTTGTTTGGCAGCATTCTCAACTATTAGGTTAAGATGAGCCTTGAAGTGTTCAAGACGGCTGATCCTTTGGTGTGGGGTCAGCCAGATCCTTCATGTACGGCAGGAGATTCTGAGATCAGGTCAGGAGCGAGAGGGCGTTCTACACTTTTCCGGTATGACCCACTGATGTTCATGCACTTTGCGATAGCGCAAGGAAACTGCACTGCCTGCAGTACAGGAGGTTATTATTTCAAAAACCTTAGTTCAGATCAACTCCAAGTGTTGGCCTCTAGAGTGAGCCTTCCGCAACTGGCTCGTGGAAAGGTGCTGAACATTAACCTGCCTGCCTACGGAAGTCCGATAGTTTTATGTTCAACCCTTACTTGGCAGGGTTGATACTGATTGAACCATATTGAACCCACTATATATCTAAGAATCTCATATGTTCTCAAGTGAGTTGAAACCAACCCACCAACCAGGGCAGGGAGCACACTGGGGACGTGTCTACGTTCACAAAACCATCCGAGGCGCTTCTCACACGCAAGAGAGGAGTATCTTCGGCACAAGTGTCCATTTCGCTTGGTGCAAGTCTCGTTTGTGTTTTTTTGGGTTGCCGCTTGAGAAACTGAACGACATCGAAGAACGAGGGTTTGTGGTGTTTTTTCCTCTACAACATCTAAGCTGTGTGGCGTTGGTCATCACTTTCCTTCTTCCAGGGGGGTCTTCGGGATGTTTTCCTATGTTAATACACCATGCACACCATCGCACACCCATCAGATAGGGCCACAGGCTTTCTTTATTTTTCATCCCCATCAATTCTTCCTTTGCCGTCGCAGTCCAACGCGGACGAGTGGCTTCTGTCAACCACGCAGCGTGGGGGTTTCGACTGCACCCCAGTCCACGAGTATAAAGATACCCAAAGGAGTTACCGCAAGTCATTGCCAGATAGATAATACCAAAGATCCAAATGGTCAGGTTGGCCGGAAATTCAAGGTGTTCTTTTTGCTGGAGTTCAGAGTTGCTTCCATCTTGTGGTGCAGGGTGCTGTAAAATGAACAAATGCCATGTGCATTCCCTCCTGGACGTCAAAAGCTCTCATCTTAAAACAAACCCGTTTGGCCTCCAAGTACCTTCGTTTCGAAGGTGGGACTGGGGGCCCGGGTGCCAGTGTCGGGTCCAGTCATACCGAACCTGAGGAGGTACGACGAAGTCGGTGTAGGGAAAAGCTCCGCAACACCACGTGGACCCCTGGGATCGCCGAGATCGCCCATACGAAGCAACCATGCATCATCCGAGGCTTCGGATGTTGGTTCCGACAACAAAACAGCTTTTCTCTCCCACCGGATCCACATTCCGAACCAGGTCGGTACGGTGAGCAGGGAGACTATTGATGTAGGCGCCAGGTGGGCCCTGTCATACCGTCATACCCTCTGAGGTTCAGTGGCACTGGATCCCTAGGGTTCCACCCAAGAGAAGGGATGCAGCCCCGGCACCGCGTTCCGTGGCTCGCTCGAGTTCGGCCGAGCGAGCTTCCGCGAGCTCAGGTGGTTGATCCCACTTTCCGTGGTGGCGCATAGTGTGTGTCAAGTCTCAGATCGTTTCCTCATCGACACTTGGCATGATCTGACAATCCAATCCGAGAATCCGATTACTCGGAGAAAGGGGGGGACCTAGGACCTTTGGAACCAATGCAAAATGCTGGGAGTCCAAGACCATGAACAACAACGGTTTTTAGGTGATCCATGGTGATCCGAAAAGGCATGTCCTTTCGTTGGGTGGTGCCAAACGGTTCTGGAAAGATCTACGGAGTGGTTCCGGACGCGACGGATCATTGGTGCGGAATTCACAGATCGAGCAAGAGAAGATTTGTGGAGGAGAGAGGTCGTCAAGTTTTAAGCTTCTGACAAAGTGATTCGGAGCTGGGATTGTCCATACCCAGACACTCCGTGTCTGGCATTTATATATACATTGGGGTGGTTTCAGGGTCGATCTAGGCATCTATGACAGACATGAAGTCTTTGGGACCCTAATTCCCAGCTCAACAAGGAGCCCCAACTTGGAGCGACCTTTAGGGAGGTTCCCCGACCCCGACAGATAGCCGAACTTAGGGTCCACTGGCTTTGAATCTTCCGCCCTTGACGGCCCAATTACAAAACACTCATCAGCTTCCCACACCAGTCAACCACAAATCGAGTGGCCTAAGCGTGAGCAGAACCTCTCAACTGCTTACTTTTCGCAGAGAATCATCACTACTCAGTGATTCCGGCAATAGACCATCCAACATCCTGAGATGCTGCATAATGATCCTGCAGATTCCCGGACATTCGCGTACTTCGACACCACAAGGACAAGTCCTCCACCCCTCTAGGAAACAACCTCCGCCCGCTGACTTCGCGTACTATCGATCAGGAACTGCTGGCGGGCGGCAGCGTGCCAGAAACGAAAGCTGGTGATGAACCCAGCATGAACCATGAACTTTGGGACGCTTGGACCTATGAACTCGTGGTGGAACTCGTGGGTTGCTTGAGTAAACCAAGATCCGCGACACAGACGTGTGGAAGCCTTGACGTAAAGTATTGTCAATTGTCAATGCTGTGGCGTATCCTTCAAGTCCTTTTGCATGACAAAGTCGGCTTTAGCGACTATAGGTGGTTTTGTGTGTGAGAGGGTGTTTCATTAGGGACAGAGGATGATGCATTGTTTTTTCTTCCGAGTGGAAAACTATAACATGATGATGAATGATTTATCCTCTTCAGTAGAAATTCACGAGCTAGGGCAGTTTGTTTGATTGTGTTTGATTTTGTATGGCATTCTGACACCATTAGCATCCTTTTAACTTTGAACAATTGAACCATTGAGATTTAATGTTGCTTGGACTCTATGCATAGATTGCTCTCCGTTAAGCTGGCTGTGGGACAACCAAGGCTTAAGGGTCACATGTCATCGTCCGTAGCAATACTCACAAGATCTCACAAGTCACATGTTCCGCTTCCTCTGCGCGGGCAGGAAAGCGTCTTAGTGTCACGGCTGCAGATGAATTCACTGCGAATGGATGGTTTCGGTGAGAAGACGTCCGCCTTTGAACCACCAATGGGTGAACCATTGGGTTTCTCCCCCAGTACCCACCGTACAAGACGGTCACGGGGTTTGCTTCGGCGTTCTGATCACAGCGATCG